TAGAAGCAGAAAGGCCCCAACCACTGCCACCTACCTGCCACAGGTATTTTGACGAAAATGTCTGCCAAGGCATGCCTACAGCCTACGTCGATGGATGTTCCTACAACCACGAGGGCATCCTAAAGGCAGGTGCTGGTGTTCTCTGGCTAAATGATCGACGCTGCCCACCACAACACTTCAAGCTGGGTCCACAATCGTCACAATATGCTGAGATAGCAGCTATTCTCATAACCCTGCAGATAGCATCAACCTGTAACATCAGAGAACTGCTCATCTGCACAGACTCCAACTATGCCAGACTTGGCTTCACATGCCATCTTCCAGGCTGGAAGCAAAATGGTTTCAAGACAGCAAACAACAAACCAGTTAAACACCAACACCTGTTCCAGGCATGCGACGACATCACGTGTGAACATGATATGATCGTCTATTGGAAGACAGTGAAAGGACACTCAAAGCAACCTGGTCCAGACAAGGACCTCAACGACCAAACAGATGCCCTAGCCAAAGTAGGTGCACTACATGGCGAGTTATGGTCTCCACCAACCCACCAACCCACCAGCCATAACCCGCAGCAAACACACTCAACCCACCACAATGCCCACCACACAGCCTCTTACGCTGGCTCCTCAAATCTCCACTAATGACATTACTGACATGCAAGCTTCTGACTCCGCCATCAAAACCATCCTTCACCACCTCTCTGACCCCTCCAGCCACCCTATCACACCAGATGAACTTGCTGCTTCCCCAAGCCTCAAACGCCTATACCACCTAACACACATGCTGCGTGTGATAAACAACATTCTGTTTTATGCCCCGGATGACCTCACTGCACCAAGGCTTGTGGTGCCACACTGCCTAAGGGGGGTGATGCTGATGTATGTTCACAACGCACCATGTGCGGGACACCACGGCGCAAGAGCCACTTATGAGACACTTAAACAAGTGGCATACTGGCCAGGCATGCAGCAAGATGTGGCAGAGTAATTGAAAGGATGCCTTGTCTGCTGCCAATTCCAACCGGCTAACCCAAACCACAGAGCCCCACTACAGCGCAGAGGAGTCACGTTTCCTTGGTCAGACCTCAAATTGACTGAGTCGGACCCCTACCCAGGTCAACAAGAGGCAACAAGTATTTCCTCACGGTCGTGTGCCAGTTCACAAAGTGGGTAGAATGCCTCCCAGCACCCAATGACACTGCTCAAACTACAGCATACCTCCTGTTGAATCACATTTTCTCCAGGTTCAGGCTGCCGCTGAGAGTCAACTCAGACAGAGGCACCCATTTCACAGCTGAGATCATGCAGCAGATTTGGAAACTTCTGGGAGTACAAGCACAACTGCACATCAGTCACCATCCAATTTCTTCGGGCCAAGTGGAACGGAAAGAATAGGACGGTGGTCAGCATGCTAAGAAAATATGTGTCTGCTAACCAAAAGGACTGGGATGTGAAACTGCCCCTGGTGCTCATGGCTATCAGAGCAACTCCACAAGGGGCAACAGGTGTGCCTCCCTTTGAACTAATGACAGGCCGGCAAATGACATTGCCCTTGCACCTGCTGTACCAGCCAGGAGACTCCAACCTTGTCACCACCTACACCACTCATCAATACCTTGATGAACTACACCGGCATTTGAGAACCACATTTGCTTTTGCCCAACAATGACTCCAAAAGAATGCAGAAGGCCAGAAAGCATACTACGACCAGAAGGCATCACACAAAGAACTGGATGTGGGCGACAGGGTCTGGTACTACAGCTATGCACTGCCTTTCTCCTTTTTCTCTGAACCAGGATGCTGCTGTGGCTCTTCATCCTCTGCCTCCAGCTAAACAGAGGACAGCCGCAACCCGATATCACATCACCAGGTCCAGCATCAGGCATTGCACTGACGGACCAACCTGGACTTCTTATGACCAACTGTAGAACTCACACCAAGATGGTGTATGTCCGACTCGACCCCCGAAATGTCTACCGGAAACATTATCCCCGGGCAGCTGCACACTACAGTTGGGCAGGTGCCCAATGGACTGAGAATACCCTCGCTCACGCAGAAGC